TTCTTTAATGAATCATACAACATTGATAATTCGTTAAAGTATACTAAGAATGAAAACAATATTGCAGTTCTATAAGAAATTCAAAATCCGTATGCAGTACTTTACAATGATTTCACTATCGATTATTTCTGCATAAAAAGTGTTGTTTTTGTCGAAATTCTTTCTATATATGTAATATAATATATAATTCTTTTTTAAAAACGGTAGAAGAGTGTAATCGACTTTGTTAGATGTTTGTACAGTTTAAATTAATTCAATGAAAAGTTATCTTGAACTATTTTATGCTTGTGATAGGAACGTATGATAAATTTTCTTCGGGTTGTTATTAACATTGAGCTAACTGCTACGCATGAAATGAGTTGTTAAAAGTTTCTGAAAAACGAAACGTTACTTCCTACATAATAATCATAAAAATTATAGAGCACAACAAATAATCTCTACAGAAGTATTCAGTATGTTTCTATTAAATCATATTCATTTTCTATGCATTTATAATGTTTTTCTAACATGAAAACATAAATATTTACAGGTGTAAGTGATTATTTAATTCACTCAGCATTCTTTGCTAATTTTGGTCAAATCTGGTTTATTGATTTTCTTCCAAAAACAAAATCATCAATCATTTCCAGATTGTTTGTGAATTTCAATCAATAACTGAGGCCATTTCCATTCAAAATAGGTAAAATTGCGTGATTTGTACAACTGGAATGATTGTTGGATTAGTAAGCATCATGTGACTTAGCGTAAATTATTCCGTAGTCAATCCATTATTGAGTAGACAGAAAATCGTGCAATAAACACCTCTGATTACTGACAAGGTCACTTTATTTATTAAACACACATACTGTGCTAAACATTTAGGTGGTTATCTAAAGTTTTGCGCTGGCTAATATTCAACAATCTACCATTTCTTCTAAAACAGATTCTCCAAGCTTGAAAGAATTTGTTCAGTTTTTGAAAATACTTGTAGATTATTTGAAATTGAATACTATGAAAAGAAATTATTAAGGTTATACGGTATTTGTTAGAACGGATATCATAAACACTCAGTCTTCCAAACACTTTCGAGTTAACTACCAATAAAAAAACTGAAGAAATCCATGGTTTCATATGAGGTACTTTTGTAGGATATTTAAAGGATTATTGTCATAGTAACAGAGGAAAAGATTTTCTAAATGTAGTTGAAATTCTAGTTTTGAAACTGTCGACTGATCGATATACCTTTAGGGTATTTGAAAATAAAATGTTTTAATAATGAGATAAGATATTCATAACATCTTGAACTCATAAACATATTTGCTACATATAATTGCATTATTGTTTGACTTTTAACGAGTAGAACACTCCCGGATCAGATGATCTTCAATTAAAATTTGTATTTATCAACGATAGACCTCTTGAGCTAATTATGTACACTGTTTTGGTAGCTTACTGAATCGCAACCCTTTGTTTAACTTTGTAAAAAGATCCTTCCTTCAAAAAAAATGGGGACAACTTTTGATTGAATCTTCATTCTACAAATACACATGTTAAAAACTCAACAGATGTTTACGGATCTGATATCACTATATCCACTGTAACACCATATTAGATTGAATTTATATGTTTCGCATCGTAACTTATGTGAAAATAAGAATGTTTGTTAGCCGTTTTCAAAATGTATCTTGGTTAGAGTTTAAAATAATTAGGTTTTATTATGTGTAAATTATTCTAAAATGAAGTGTGATAATCAGATATGAAATTAGAAATCTCTGCTGTTAACTACTCCTATGTTTTCATAGTTTCAGCTGAATATAAACCTATAACATCTAATCTAAAATTTCATTCATTAATACTATAACTTCACTGAACTTGAATTGTTTTCAAGTACGTCAGCAAAGGAGATGAACTCATACTATTCCAAGCATCAACGGAATTTTTAAATTGTTTTAAGGATTTGTAACCATTACCTTATTCAAAATTAAGAGGATATGTAAAATTTCAAAAGGCAATGATAGACCATTTCTAGGTCTTTAGAATGAAAATCATATTCTTAGTAAATACACTACTGATATTCAGTAGCATGTATGGTTTATCATGAATACATTGCTGATAAAAATTTCGTTCAAAAAGAAACAATTATTATAGTGCACCATTCTCTATCAGTTATCTAGTTGTTGATATATTTAATTATTCTCTATCATCCTTTTCAGGCGGTGCTTGCTAATATGTTACGCCACACTTAGCCTCAAAATGGAATTTCCTTTGCACACATTTTCTTGTGGGCAATAACTTCGTAACCCATTGTATTTTCACATTTAACACGTTCATTTCTCGATGCTTAAAATTCAGAAAACTTTTCATCTGTGTACAGAAAAAAGTAGAACCAATTTTCTACCGTTAGTAAAATCATAAAGTTGAAACCACAGATGAAAAAATAAAATTTAAAAAAATGACCCAGATAAGGTATTTGAATTCTACATAAACAACTTATTTTCTATTCATCTTCATTTAGTTGAATAATTTCAAACTGATATTTTTGAATTTGACGTATGTTCAGTAATTTTTACTGATTGTAGTTTAATAATCTGAGGTAAGCATCCATTATTTTGCTTTGAAGACAGGAAAATTGAAATGAAAACGGAAATTTGATCATGCAAAACGTGTTTCGTTAAAAGGCATTCTTCTACTTTAGCGTATGATAAGTTTGGAATAAATAGGTCAAAATAAAAAAGAATGACTATGATTAGCATATACAAGTTTATCACGTTTGAAATTCGGGAGGTTATGAAATCTCCTTTCATTTATTGTTCAAGTTAATTTGAGCTAAAAACAAAGGAGTGAAAGTTATATTAAAATTAATGACTATATCAAATCACTGTCACACGGTCATTTAAATATTTTGGTTGTCATTAAAGTTTTCAACCGATTATACTACAGTTATATTACAGCATGTTTATGCATTTAACCTCAATAAATTGTAGGTATTCTAATTTCAAATCATTCCTTATTACAAATTCAAGCTCTAAATTTGATGAAAGACATTCTACAAGCAACAGTTTATTTTGTAAAACTTTTAACTTTGTTTTATTGATTCAAACGGAATTTAGCCTCCTAGAAAAGTATTAATTTTTTGTTTCACATCATCAGAATGTTTCCTTTAAGCTATAATTAGTAGCTTGAAGCGAAAAACGTATGGTTATTTTCTGGTTTGTCCATTTTTAGATATTTGATAATTTGAGTAATGTTTAACGTCATATCAAAAGCATAGTGTAAAAACATAAAGAAATATTTTCCATAATATATCTTTGGTTTTATTTATAAGAGGTTGAATCGAATTTGATCAGAATTTGATTACGTTTCAACCATTACAGACTGAAAATAGTCATGGAAAATTAATGCTGTTTTAATGATCTTCAAGTGCCCAATAAATATAACCTTAGATCATCAAGGTAATTGACTGGTATCTTATTATTATATTCGGTACACAAGACTAATTGATGCAGTGCGGTGGCAGAGCTCGCAGATTACTTCACGAGCTGCTTGGTTTTGGGTGCCGACTATTCTAATAATAGCTGACGAAGTAATCTGTCATGTTAAGGCTGAATAGGATTCTCAGATGCTTGTTTCAATGTGAAAAATATCGTAGAATTAAGAATTGTTTCTGAGGCTTCTGAAAAGGTGCGTGGTTAAATAAATGGACAGCTAGACCACAGCGCAAAATAATGTGAAAAGCATGTGCCAAAAGTAAGGCATTTAGGATTACGATCTGAATAACAGACTCATGATTAGATTACAATGAGTTGTGAACTGACGGAGATGTAGTAACACATGGTTAGGCTATTAATAATTGCACTCTCAAACTTAGTGTAGTTTTGTACCGGAAAGAAGATTAAACAACTTGTTATTCTTCTCTATTCTTCGCTACAAAATAGTTGTGTAAATGTTTTTAAAAAAAACAACTAAAGGTAACCAAATTTGACTAAAGGGGAAACATAGTGCGCTATTTATTTCTCGTAACTTTTAAATACGCATTCCAAGAGTTTTCTAAACAGGTGAAACTGAACATGAAAAATATAAGTTAGTTGACTTTGGAAAATGGTAAAGCCATGTCTTATGATGACCGGAATTCTTGAAGAAACTTACCTACAGATTTGTTTGATACACCGAAGCCATGAGTCTAGATCAGTAAACAAAATTTTACTGACAGTTGTGACAGAAGTAGAGTTGCGTGTAAAGTACTGCAGAAAAAAATAGTCTACTGATATATCTGGTGAAAAATATTAAATGAGCATCAATCCCATACGAAGATATTAAGATTGTTAGCTTCTTTATATATCAAGGCAATAAATTCGTTTGTATTAGAATTCTCAAACCACTCTAGTAGGAATTTCACAACGAATCGACGTTTCAGTTGTAATTTCTCTTAATAATACTTTTAAATATGAACTAGTTGGGTTTTTTCAAACGATCCTTGAAAATAATGTAGGCGCTAAGCGTCAACATACCAAGGAATCCCACTGGTACCAAATTACTTTGCTGAACAACAAAACTTACGGTAAAAAGCATTTTAACTAGACGTTCATTTACCTTTCCTCGGAACTAACATCTGAACCGAATTTAACTGAACGAAAGAACAACTGAAACAAACCTACCCCTATTAATTGAAAATAGCCTATAATTAATCATTATGAATTACTGAAACTCTATTTTCAGACAATGATTTGGTTCTTCGAAATAATTAAGACCTAAAGTTTGAAAAAATTCTAATAGGTATATGATGTTGTCAAAATACCTCAGAGATGTCTTATACAAAATAATTCATAGAAATTCCATTTATGACTAACATCTATCAAGTGTACTTTTCAATAAATATTGCCTATGCAAAGAAATTACCTGGAATCATTGCTTATAAGTTCTCAATACATCTAACTGCTTTCTATTTGTCAATAAATTCGGTGGAGTAAATTCTCTAAACGTATGTTATAATGTGCTTTTATTTTATGTTCTTATTTTAATAGGTTATTACTTTTAACGTAATATCTAAACAAAATTAAACTGTCTACATTATATAAATCATGAAATTATATTGTTGTTGGCTGATATGGTTATTCATCAAATTTATTGGAGGAGACAACCATACAATTCAAGATCCAATGAATGTGTCAAGTGTTGTAGCTGTACCGTATATTCATTCTACAGGAAGTAATTCAATAACACCTAGTTCATCGTGTTTGAAAGGATTCACATCTGATGAACTCAACGTGTTTCTGGTTTTTGCCCGTATAATAACTCCAATTGTTTTTGGCTTAATTCTAATTATTGGATTTGTTGGTAATCTATTTGTGATGATTGTAGTCTTAGCCAATGCTCAAATGCGTAATACAACAAATATTTTAATTTTTTCATTAGCATTAGCTGATATGGCATTTATTGTAATTTGTGTTCCATCTGCAGCGATAGTTTATGTGGCTGGAAAATGGCCATTGGGATTATCATTGTGTCGCATTTATTATTATTCTTCATATGTGTCTGTGTACTGTAGTGTGTACACTTTAGTATTGATGAGTTTGGATCGCTTCATGGCTGTAGTCTATCCTATTCAATGTATGCATATTCGTACACAGAGGAACACTACCATTGCAGTATTTATTACTTGGACTGTAGTGCTGGTTACAAACATACCGTTATTTGTCGGTGCAATCTTAGTAAGAGGTCCACCGGAAGGTGGTGAAAGTTCATGTGTAACTGAATACTGTACATATTCATGGTTAGTAAATTTTGATGCACAAACGAATATTGCAAGAGATAATCGACAAGGAGGACAAATGTTTTTTCTTCTTTTCTTTCTGTTTGGATATTTATTCCCATTTGTTGTAATCTGTTTGTTATATATATGTCTAATACTAAGACTACGTTGTGGCCCATCTTCGAAAATGGCGCATTCAGCAGAAGCGCAACGTTCAAAGAGACGGGTTACACGTCTAGTCGTAACTGTAGTTATTGTTTTTGGTATCAGTTGGTTGCCAATCCATACAATCTTTTTAATACAATATTTCGCAAAAGACCCAGAAACAGATTTATTTAGAATAATACAAATATTAGGAAACTGTTTGGCTTACGGGAACAGTAGTATCAATCCGATTCTGTATGCATTTTTATCTGAAAAGTTTCGAACTGGATTTTTAAAACTTATTTGCAATCGGAAAACAAATCCTGAAATGGTAAGACTTAAACAAAAATGTTTTGATAATGAAACAGCTGGCTGATAATTTGTAAAACCAAAAGATATTATTTTTTGTTGGTCTTAACTACTTTTCTTATCAAATTTTAAAAAGGATGAATGAAACTGTTGAAGTATTGAATTGTTAAGTAGTAAATTTTCACATTACGTATGTAGTAATAATAATACAGATTTAAATTAAGGAACATTTAGATGTATGTGTCTTCCTTGGAACTATGCATATTCTGTTTTATAATCTCTTTAAAGTAGTGAACCACTTATAATATTTATTCATTTTTTATAATTATCATTTTAACAAACCTGAATTTGATCATTCCCACACGCACATGTGATTTTTTGCCTGTCATATAATACAATAAACAGGTTTCTATCAAATATTCCAAATTTGTCTTACACTGTAATTGCATTTGAACTATTTAGAAATAAAATAGCTCTTATAACATGCTGACGATTTTTACTGTGAGTTGATTTCAATTAGGGAACCAGTTAAAACTAAGAGACGTTGTTTTCTACTATAATGAGCAATATTTCCATTATTTCATCAATATTCTCGGAGTAAACATACATTTATTTCTTTTGTTCGTCGATCTGAATGAAGAATTCGATAGCTATTTCGCTGTAATTACGAAATAATTTAGGTTACACTATTACTGAAAACTTAGAAACACTGGACGGTCGTCTCGTCCTAATATGAGACTCCTAAGCAGCACGAATCCATGACCAAACAAACAGGAGTCGAACCCAGGGACTCTGGCTTTGCACACGTACCCTTAACCTCTAGACAACTGAGGTCTAACGTTTGAATTCAATCAACTCACGGCACTGAGCGACCATCTTCGACTACTTTCAGTGAGTAATTGGCTCACACCTGACACAGTTTTACTACAGTAATTACGCTTATCATTATAAGCTTAGGCATTACATCTCGGAGATAGTTCCTAACAACCATACGATGATCGTCAACTAGGAGTTGTGAAGATTTCTGAGTTTCATTGCAATTATGTAGCGATTTATCTTAAACCAATGAACGAAACGAATGTGTTAAGACCAGATTCAATAAGAAATTTATTTAGAGAAGACAGTTTCCTAGCACACTGTGCAAAAATTATCTTCAGAGTTTATTAGCAAAACAAGTAGATTCTTGGTTTTCTTTCAAATATCTTCTAATTTTCAAGAAACTTAAATCTTTTTAGACATCTGGATCCGACACTTCAGCAGTAGCTTTTGTGTGACACTCCGCTGCATACTACTAATAAACCATGTAGCAAGTAGTATCTACCATCGTACTATTTTTAAAATGACAAAAAAATCCTCAACACTCTTCGATCAAGCTGTCAAGCCCCAAGGCTTGCCAAGCATTAAAATCCTGCCGATCAGCTGAGTCACACACCACCATCGAAAATTACCTTTAAATATATTAGTTGAATTTTCGGGTTTATTCCACCAATTCATCTCAAAACTGGGACGTCTCGTTCTTGAACAAAACAATAGTCAAGATTATCACTAAGACAAATGTTCGGCTTGTATTACTATAATTGTAGATTTAACAAAATGTATTGATTTAAATTAATCTGATTTCGAAGTAGCCTCTGCTTGAAATTACTTAATAATTAGACTAGTAATAAATTTCCATATATTATAAAAACTCCGCCTGTAGTCTGTTTGGGGTTATTGTCGGTCCCAAGGAATAGGAGTGGCCATAAGGTTAGAGACCCCATCTTACTAGAGGAGATAGTCGACATCATACAGAATTCTTACGATGGATTGAACTGGAAAATCGAGGACAGCTGACAGACTCTTTAGAGGTGAAGACCGGTGTCAGGCAAGGGTGATTACATTCACCCATCCTCGTCCTCCTTGAGGTTGACCGGATTGTGAATGCGTCACCACCTACGTGAAGGCACGGAATGGATGGATGGCCAGGATGCATCTGGACTTCGCCGATGATTTCGCCTTCATATCCCGTACCGAAAAACAAATGTAATGGAAAACGAGTTGTTTAGCGGCAACCTCTGCATCAGAAGGTCTCAACGTGTCCGAGGGAAAAGGTAAGATCCTCTGACACAACACAACATGCAACAACTAAATCACACCTAACGGATAAGCTTCGGAAGATATGGAAACCTTTACATATCTTGGCAGCATCACTGACGAACAAGGCGCATCTGATGCAGACATGAAGGCGAGGATTACCAAAGCAAGTGCAGCATTTCTGCAACTGGAGAACATCTATAAATCAAAACAACTATCAACTAACACCGAAGTCAAATTTTTCAGTGCAAACATCAAGACCTTTCTGCCGTATGGGGTGGAAACTTGGAAAACTAGAAAAGTTATCATCTGTAAGATATATGTATTTATGAACAGCTTTCTGGACAGGATACTCCAGATCCTTTGGCCAGACATTTTCAGCAACAACCTACTATGAGAGAGGTCAAACTGGATTACAACGGAGGAAGAAATTTAGGAAGGAGGAGGAAGACCAAAGAACACATTAGTTCGAGGATTTGAAGCAAATATGAAAGGATGAACATCGATTGTATAGAATTGGAAACGAAGGCCTAGAACAGAGATGGTCGGAGAATGCTGGTTGACGGTCTATGAGCCGCTGCGGGTAACAGGCGGAGGTAAAAAATATAAAAAATATTTGACAAAGTTGACTCCGGGTCAGTCAAACAGGGTAAACTTAGGTTATGTTGTCAACGTATTATTCCCAAAGTCGGTTCCTTGCTTTATTTACCAACTTACGTGGGACGTCCTATAGTTCAGAGGAGGGAGGAACATTATAAATATAACAGGTAATAAGTTACGGTTTTAAACTGAATTCATGTAATTAGGAATCACATTTCATTTTAACTACACTAGAATATTTCATATCAGTGAATGAAATTCAACTATAACTCATTCACAAATATTTTGTATACGGGACAGTTAATCGATAAAACATCAAAATCATTCTACGTATGTTTATATCAGTATATCTGTTTAGGCCACGCCCATCGATTTTATACAAAAAGAGATTATTTAGAGGCTTTGAGTACTAATCTCGAATATTGAATGTATTAATCGGAAGCTTCCTCATTTATTCCCCCCTCGAACTAATACATAACACATTTACAAGAGTTGTTATCATATCAGAGTTTTTTTCACTTTATGATGGTTTACTTTCATTACAGTCGGCAATCGCAGTGTTAACAAACATTACTGCGAATATTTATTAAGGAATAATTATTTATGAAAGTATAGGCTTTCTTGTAACCAGAAGTCAGAGGTGAATGCTTCGAATTACTGATCCCTGTATTACGATAGTCAGCTTGATTCTAAGCTGTTCCCAAACTGATAATTGGTTATGTGCATGCAGGGTCTGTCGATCATTTGGTTTCTAAAAGCCATCTTACTCATGTAGACGAAACAACGTGTCAGTTATACTGAAAATTTCATTCATTGCATGTCCTATCGTAGTGAGTCATTCAATGTCTGACTCATATGACTCGTACCACTTGTCTTTTGACCTTGTCAATCGTTCGTCGCTTTCATTCATCTGTGTGTAAACCTATCTCGCTTGTTATATGTTTGTCTTATTTTTATATGATCAAAAGTTCTTAGTCATGCTTTGTCTTGAGGAGTTGGCTCACTAGCCTTCTCCCCTGCGCTTCATTCATTCGTTCGTCAATTCGCTCGCTGGCTTGTTTCTGGCGCTCGCATGATGATAATATCTTTGAGTGCTTGTAGTCTGCTGATCTAATATGTGTCGTGTCGAAATAAACGTATTCAGCACTTCGAATTCACCTTCTGATTTATAAACCGTCAGACGCTATTTAGTAACGACTGTCTGGACGAGCGAATTACGAAGCCTAGGAACACTTTACATACCGACCGTCACGAAACAAGTGATACTTTGGCCACTACAAAATAGTGAGCTCGACGTGATACGAACAAGCAACTTTCTTTATTGTGAGTGTTCTGGTCAATCAAGTGATAACCTATGTTTTAACTGTTAATGTTAAACACAGGGAGGAATTCTGACTTGCATGATATTACTCAAAGAGAGACGAAATGCGAAAAATCTCTATAAGTATTTAACATTTTTATAATAGTTTAAAATCCAACTTAAAATAATCCTTATGAAATCAGGTAATAGTTGTGTCAGCACATATCTTGAAAATTAAGCAATATAAGACATTTCATCGAAAGACGATTTCAAACCTTAGTAAATGTGTTAAAAAAGTATTGTATATATTAATACTGAAGTTTGATGCCTTTATTTCGAATAAATAGAGCACTCGGTGTACCGTTTATAGTGGTAAAATATTAGTTACTTAGTTGCATTTTTAACATTTCAAGTGTAAGTCACTTCTTCACAGAATGAATAATATCGAATTCAGTTGATACCAGTTCAAATGGGACTGAGTAACAAATGCAAAAAACTGATTACGATCAGAACAAATTTGATCATTTTTCAATGAAAATCTGGTCGAGTTAATGTTACATCATTCAGGCCAAAGGTCATTCATTCGATGTGAGACATTGATGTGTGTTTTCGTGTATATTTGAGTGTGATTGGACAATTCATTTGAAGTACAAGAGAGTAGAATTGATTTGCATACATATTAGTAGTGCGAGATTTTCACCTAAACGACGTGACATTAACATGACCAGACTTTCAATGAAAAATGAACGAATTTGTTACAATCGTAATCAGTGTTTTCATTTGTTACTCAGTACCATTTAAACTGGTATCAACTGAATTCGATTATATTCATTCTCTGAAGAAGCGACTTACACTAATTCTTGAAATGTCAGAAAGGCGATTATCTGCTTATCGGGATACTAAAACTTTATTATGGCATTATTACTAAATGACTTTGTTTTGAATAAGACTGAAGTCTGATAATGCAAGTGATTATTATGCATCATTAACAACAACGCTCCAATCGTAACCGAACGAAAACAAATCATTTTATGTCGGAGGGAAAAATTAGTTTCCATAAACTACCAACAATGTAAGAAAATATACTATAAAATTTACAAGCGCCTACCAAGACGTTAGTTTTCTTATTTCAACTCATTAGATGCTTGATATAACCCCATTTATTGCCAGCATGTTGCAAATAGGAAACTGCTGAATACGAACTTGTTAAATGCCTTCCATTCAGTACATGTCTCAACAGAGCCACACAATTAAGTCACGTGTTCCAGTTTATTATCAAGATAATTAACATAGCTGATCATACAAACTATCATAGTTCCTGTTAAATCTGAATAGCAGTGAAACTGATTGCAACTAGTCCGTGACGGGTACTTACTTTGTCACTTAGATCCACAATGGTTGTAGTTAACTGTGATTCATATGATACAAACTGAGTCCTAATATCTTGAAACCATTGCATTTTTTTAGTCATTAAACATTGAATCGTGAATGTTATTTTGTTCAGTTGCTCCATGACCATACAAATGAAATTTTAGCTGATTCACTATTTGATTAATTCTAATTTTATTATTTATCAATGAGCAATAGTTTACTTGTTCAGTGTATAGACTGACCACAATCGAATTAAACCGATAGTTGGGTTTCATTCGAATTTACGAATCATTATTATGCAACATGTTTTATTCCGCATCAAAATCAATTTTTTTTTCATAGTTTGTTTCAAAAATACTATTAGAAATCGATTTTTAAATATAAATACTGTGATTTCCTTTGGATAATATGAGTAATTAAAACAATGATGTATATTGCGCAACGAACTAATAGAGGCGGTCACAATAAAATTCTATCAAGTATAACACTTAAAGGCGTGTATCAACAAACTAAGTAATATATATATATATATATATATGTTTGTTAAATGTACAACCTAAGTGTTTCATTTGTTTACATCTATTCCCAAATAATTTAATGCAGCTTACTTCGAGATTCGTGTATCATACTAACTGGAATCTTTGAGGAACTACTTAATGGTAGTTGATAATTTCGTGAAAAAGTATTTGAACAAGTGTTCAAAAACACTATTCTTAAGCATGTTACTATGAATAATTTGATTCGTAAAGAAAAACTTTGGTCTAAGCGTTCCCATAACAATCAAAGCTTTGTTTATTTTTATCATTAAGTAAGCTAAATAGAAATCTTTGAGTTTACAGATTATTCAATTCAAAATTGCATCAATATTTTTATATTTTAGTATTTGCTTATCAATATATCACTTTCGTAACAGCTATGAAATAAATACCCAGTACCAATGAAATCTACCTACCCACTGTTAGGCTTCTGTTTTGAAATTAACTGCAACCAGTTTTACTGAGTACGAATGAGCTTCATTTATTACTGGTCGTGAATTTCATTTATACTATCTTACTTAAATCTATTGATAAAGTAATGTACCAATGCAATGAGATGTGTTTTGCTTTGAATTTAAACCTCAGTCATAATTTTTATCTTGTACAACAATGTCATGGCCAAGTCAAATAATTTAATTCACTGAACTCTAAATAAAATCCCATAAGTTTACCTTGATCATTGAAACTCTGTTAACTAAATAAAATTAAACTTAAAGGCGTAACAGTCGCTTTAAAAATGCAATAGAAATCCGTGTTTCAATTATTAAAATCTGCTCAAATGACTTCGCTCACATACCGCTTCATAGCTAAATAAGTCTATTGAAAAATTACCTTTTTGTACTATCAATTACAATTATTGAATCAAATTAGCCTACAAAAAAATTTTATTTCCTGGAAAAATCCAATCTAATTTTTCACTTGACATGCGCTGCTTGTCTGGACATTAATCATCTTTGAAAAAACTGATTTCATATTCAACGTAAGTGTATAAAATGATTATTAATTATATGGCCGGAAATAAATTCACAACAAAATTAGTATGAATGATCTAAATCACAGTTGAGCGTGAAATTTTTCAAATAAGCTAAAACCGATTGTCACTGAATGATTTTCAGAACTAACATTCATTTCCACTTTGTATATGTGTGTGCGCGAAAGGGATAATCAAAAAACAAACACATACCTTGCTGACCTCAGTCATAAATATATTGTGTGTATATTCCTTTCCAAGGAATCAAGAACTGATATGAGTTTAGACCATGACTGAAAATATAGAAGCACTGATCAGATCTGTGGTATAGAGGTAAATATTATCTAAGCTGTATCACATTTGAAAGTCAGAATATTAAGATATCGTATTTGCCTGATTAATCAATAACAGAATTTATTTTTACTCAAGAATGCATTCACAAATCTAAATAAATGGGATCTAGAAGCAATGATTATTTTGTGATTAACATTAACTGAATCATAGGATAAAAATCGAGTAAAACGGCGCCTTTACACAGTAAATCCCTCTTGTTAATCATAGCAACTTACAATGGGAATAGACAAACACTGGCAAAAATTCTTGAAAATATACTAAACTAATTAGAAATTATGAAGACTAACGTCAAAGTTCTAATTTTGTGCACTTGATCGATACATACAGATCATCACGTGAAATGATCAACAAGTATCAAAATAACTGGGACAAAACCAATTAACTTTTCTACCGATATTCCAAAGCAATGGTTGTGAGTAAGTATACGCATAGCTTGAGGAAAAATATCCATCAGTCGACAACATTCTCTTGAGATGAATAATTTTCTCAGGTAAGTTTTATGTATATAAATTGCAATGAAACTTTAATCTGTCACATTATACAATCCTAATCCAGTTTACCTATTGTTTAGCATGTAATTTATACGGCTTCATTTCAATTTCGGAATAGTTTTACTTCATCTTAATTACACATACTATAACTGCAATCCAATATTTTGAATCTTTCACTGTGTAAAAATCTATCTATATTTCTGAAATTTCTGTATATTATTTCACTGATGAACTATCCCATAAGTCATGCTTTACTTTGTTTCACTGAAAGATTTCTTTTTGCTGAGTTTTGACTATACACTTTCTACTTTCAGTCTATAATAACAACGAAATTTAAAGAATTCACTAAAGTTCACCTAAATTTCTTGAATTAACTTTGTCAAACCAATCAATTACTTAACAACAGCATATATTCCTTGATGAACGAATATTTAACACAAGTTTTGTTACAGTTATCGAACATCCATATATTTTTATTATAAGTTTGATTAATAATTTTACTGTCTATAGATTTTGTAATCCGGCATCTAACTCCAATTTGTGAAAACAATTAAATATACTATAAAATTAATCTTTCATCTAATTTTTGTATATTATTCTCAGGCAAACTCCATTTGTGCGACCGCGTTAATAAGCGGCTGAATACTGATTCAGTTAAATCCTTTATGCAGACAAAAGTGATGATGAAAAGCGTGAAAGTAAAGTGGAGATGGCAAGTGAGTCAACTTAATGTGATGAGGTGTGACTAGGTATTTGTATTCAGAAAAAATCAGCTACACATGTGATAAGCGAAGCAAACAATGCACATACTAACTCAAGTGAAAACAACCAAGGTTATAAGCAAATAAATGACAAGGTCGAGAAACCTGAATAACCCAAGAAGAATGGATTAATTAATATTTTCAAAGGCTGGAGAACAAGCCACACAACAACGTTTGGGTACACATTACAAGCTCATACTTTGGTATATCATCCACAGCAGCAATATAAATATATCTAAATGCATAACCACTGAGTCTTCTTCGATCTATCTCAAATACCAAATATATTAACTTCATCAAATGTTTTGTTCACTAAATTAACAACTTTTTTTGCATCACAGTCTCATTTTGAATTAAACTCTTGATTAGGTTCAATAATTTCCTTCCTTTTTGAATTTTTACGGGATTATTTTTTCATTAAAATGGAAAAAATCTCATTATCATTTAATTTCAAGTCAAAGGATTATATATCATGCTCATATTATTAGCCTGTTAAGTAGAAAAGTGGATAACTGCATTTAATGACAAACTGAATTCTTTCGTTTTCTTAGTGTTAGTGTTGGCATTTATATTCATTGAGCAAAAGGAATGTCTAACATGTTTTGTCTGATGATACACACAAAACTAATCTGCTATATCGATTTGATGACTGAAGTAAGTGATGAACTACTGTCATCTATGGATATTTTAGGAGATATTTATCATCAATCAACTTGATTTGAACAATGTTTTGCCTTGTCATAAGTGAATTTAATATTTATCACAGGAGATCTTTCTATGTAATTTTTTCCCATGGATAGAATAATCAAAAACATTGCAATGACGTTTAACTATACAAATATAAATATACTTTATTACAGTTCTTTTATGTGAGAGAAATCATATGAATATACCATCTGTTTTCAGATTACGAACAGCATAAGTGTTTGATTAAGATAGTTTTTATATATGTAAGCTGATATAGGAACTTACTTGTAAACTACTCAACGATGTGTATCTGTACGCTTAATTGTATATTTTAGGCTAATTACATGAAAATTAGCGGGTAGAATAAAACTGACTACCCTCAGTTAATGACATCTGAGTTGGTTTATTTTATACGAGTGCAGACAAGATATCTGTAATGATACTACTAGGATAACTAAGGTGTTTTGCCTAATTTCAAACAGATGCATCTAATCAGAAGTAGTTTGTTAGATGATAAGTCAATGTAAAAAATTTCCTTCAGCTAACTGGATGCTAGATCATGTATTGTTTTAATGTTTGACCTATCTCTTACTTCTCTATCCGAAATATTTTTGCCTGAAATACTTTTTATTCGTTAGATTTTCTATAAACTAGTTGAAACATACAATCCAATGGGTCATTTATTAATTTTCATAGTTTCATAAAATAACAAGTATTTATCAGAAGTCTACTGATAATATTCTCTAATGCATAGTATTCAATCACAAATTTTCCAAATTTACAGTTATTTGTTTGATTGTGATATTGTATCACTCAATGTATGCTCATTATTCACATAAAATCAATTGACCTATATGAGGTGATAAAAATGAATGACATATTTTGTTGATACGTTTTATGTAGCACAAAGTCAGTTGTAAAATTCGATTTTCCTGGTTGGTTGATATAGATAATAAGGACACATATCCATTCATGAACAGTTTAGAAATTTTGGCGGTACTGGTAACATTATACAAGACATTACCAACTTGAAATCCCTTGATCAAGTGATGTGTATTAACTGAAATGGGTAACTGCATTCCATCTAGTATCGATCTAAATGATATGATCCACGCACCCCAAGCAGCTCAACTGACAGACAGGTCTGCAATCTTACGTTGCAACACTTGTGAAACATTGGATTATGGAAGTAGTGCTAATGTATTCAGTCTAAACGAAATGGATTCGGATTTAAAATCTCCTATACTCACACGAATATTCTCACGCCAGACAAATAACAATCAAACAAATAGTGGCGATTTTTACCGCAATTCACTTGAAAGTGATGAACTTCCTTCACAGAACATCGATAAAATAAACTTATCTTCAGCTTTAAATCAACAAGACGAGAAGTGTATCTTACAAGTTGTAAAACCAGTGTTGAAACTATTCACTGCTCACTCCATAACCAATGATCTAGATAATCCAAAAGAAGCTCAAAAACTACTACTAACTCATACTACCGAAAATATTACAAATATTGAAGCAAAACAAAATAGTGATAAAGAGAAAGGTAACGCGAATGAGGATAGTGGAATGGAAAGCTGCTCACTAGACAGTCATTTGAAAAGTGTAAACTTATGTTCTGACTCAAAAAATTCAACCAGATTACAGTTGAACAGTATAACTAATGAAAAGGTTTGTGAAAATACAGAGCAATTAATGAGCTGGTCCTATCCGAGAAATGAGACAATTACTAGAAGTGCACAGATTATTGAAATAAATTCTAATCCTCATACTATGTCTAAATATTCTCTCAATAAAATCATATCGGAAGAAAACAAGGATCAAGTTGAACCAGTTCTACATTTAAACGAAGAATGGCTTTATGAAAAAAATAAACAGAAATTAAGTAGAGATTTAACAGATAGTATTCCAAAATATTCAAAGCTTTCGGCAGATCAAAAGAAAGGCCTACCATTTGTAGCCGTGGCTAAAATGACTTATATTCCACAATACCCTCATGAACTAAATGTTTCGGAAGGAGAAAGATTACTGGTGCTTAGTCGCATGTTGATACCATGTACTACAATTCAAGATAGGTCAAACTCATTAAGAACAGATGAAGATTTTTGGCTGGTCGAACGAATAGAGCTAAAATACATGTCTAACTTCTGTTCAAGGAAGGGATTGGTGCCAAGAGAATATTTACAAATCATCGATAATCCTATAACCACCCACATTTCTTGGTTTAATATTGACAGAGTTGAAGCAGAAAGACTACTTCTTCTAATGGGTAACCCATCAGGAACATATATTACACGTCCATCTTCAGGTAATTAATTTTATTATTTTAGTTTTCATAGCTAGTTAATGACAATAAACGTCTATGATTTTCCAAAAAAATCAATCTAATTCAACGTAGCAAAGCTAGCTGATATCATATGAATATATATATATATATATATATATATATATATATATAACAAACTGTTTACATCTCGAAACATCAGTTCAGTCAGTTGTTCAAGATGATGATATTGGATACTTCTAGACAATTTTTATTAGATTAGTACGTAAGGACAAGTAATTTGTTATTAAATCATCATTTAATTATTAAGAATGTAACGCGTACACTTAGTTTTATTTAGGATTACGAATGTAACCTCATTTTCTTGATTGCACCTGTCTTTATAATTAAGACGAATGAATTTATCAATATCTTATATTGAACTAATTTAAACTTTATGATTAACGGTAGGTTCTGGTCATCAATTTAAAGCTATCTCGTTTTTTTTTGATGTGCATATGATGCAGTCAAGTGAATAAACTGGTACTGAACTAATTTACACAGAACTTACAAGATAACTACTCTATGGCAAGACATCTCTGTGGTAAAGCCAACAAACTGTTGATTCGTAGTTAGGATATGTTATAATTTAGATTGATGTGTATGACCAGCAATACAACTAGTATTTTTAAAGATAGTATATAGAGTTAATTCTTCTATTTGCTTATGTAAATATTACTTTTTGAGACATTAGTAACACGTAAAGTTGCTTAGTTCTGTTAGTACAACCCCAAAAGTTGTCTGATAAAACCATTTTATCATGGAAACGCAAATTTAAACGAAATACGGAAACTTACATCGGATTTAGTTTATTTTATTTAAACAAAAATAAAACCGATAGTACAGTTTCATAAATGTGATTTTTGTTAGTTCATAAGCTAAATTTAACTGGTATTTTTCATGACTCTAATGAAAAGTTTTTCAAAAATAGCTTACTAGATATCAGTAATAGTTATTTCTCATCAAAGAACATCATTGTTTTTAGTTTCCATAGTTAGTACCTTAAATAATAGCTCCAGACTGATGTCTACAATCTAAAAAAACTGATATTTTATGGAATTTTTTTTACAAAACTTTTAGATTCAGATGAGACATTTGCTCTATCAGTACGACATTTAGACCAAACAACACTGATTTGGTCAGTGAAGCATTACCGTATAAAATTTAGATTAAAAGACAAAAAGTACCATATATTCCGCCATATTTCATTTCCAACCATTGATCAACTGTTGGCGCACTACACAGGTAAATCACTCACACTTGTATTCCTGTTTTCCTTAACACCAGAATTAATATCATAATTAATTAAGTAACGCTCCGAAAAAGAAATAAAGACTAGACTATCAAATTCTGTACTAAAGTTTATAAACATTTTCATAGGATTCCGTATAAGAATAAAGGTTTAAGGCGCTTCTTTTGCTAGATTTGCTACCGACCAGCTAATTAGACGATTTGTGGTTAAGAAAATAATATTCATTAAAATAAGATGTAAATCAAACATTTCTTCATTACAATGTCGAATAATCTCATAGAGAAATTAAAGATCAACAAATGAGTGAATATAGTGTCAGTTTCCCTACTTCAATGAGAAGACTATCAATGCATTTCAACAAAACTATGCAACAGAGGTGATAAAACTTCTAAATTAAAAATTATCAAGAGGATTTAGAATACAGCTGTGTAAATTTCCAGAAACAACGATTGAGAACATAACCTGCATGGTCTTTGTCTAATATCAATAACAGAGCTAATCGATGGGAGTCCATTTTGCAGGATTGACAAGGGTCTTTCACAACCTATGCAAATCCATGTTTTCCAACGAGTCAATAACATTTTTCGTATAATCGAATCAAATACTTAATTAAATAACTATTTTATTTTTCAAAAACAGGGAATTCTTTCTGTATTAATCGAACAGCTTTCTGAACAACAAATTCCAGTGACCTATCAATCAATCGATTTCTACTATTTATTATAGAGCTTTTCATCTCAAAAATGAACGGACCCACATGATATTGCTCGATTATTAAATAATGACTAACTATAATTCAGTATTATTGAATCACAAACTTTAGCCACTTCATATGCTTCTTAATGAAATAATAATAATAATAATAATAATAATAATAATAATAATAATAATGTGGAGGAACAGAAGTAACAACAGAACGTACGATTAAACGTTGTCTATTCCATTCTATTTATTCTTACTTCCAAACTCTAACTCTTTTTTACAAGTACTGTGCATGATAACGCCTTGTTTGTAGACCTCTGTAAGAATAAGTTTATGGATTCAATTTGTTAAGACACAGTGTAATAACTTACCAACATAATGGATTTTCCTTCATGTAGACAAAAGCACATTTAATCTTATTCATTGAAATTATCATGTGTTTAACGTAAGTAAATTTCTTGTTTATGCCCGTTACAATAAACAATAGCTATCCTAATTACTTCTTGTCTGTAATAAAAACAACGTTTTATCTTATTGAAGTAAATGCCGATGGAATAGCCTGCTGCTTAACTACACCATATTCGAAAAATTACGAACCACCAACAAAATTGTCTTTACTAGAAGTAAATCGAGACAATTTTGAATTCATCAAAAAACTGGGACAAGGAAGCTTTGGTGAAGTATGGTATGGAACATGGAATAATCGGATGGCTGTAGCGATAAAAAAATTACTTGGAAATAATAACATGAATCAAAAACGATTTCTAAATGAAGCTGAACTTATGCATAGACTGAATCATCCGAATATAGTCAAACTTTTGGCTGTATGCACATTTCCCTATCATCAACCAACTTATATCATTAGTGAATTAATGGAAAATGGCTCTTTGAAACAGTATATGCAGAAGCTTAATCCTGAGAAAATTAAAATGAAGAATTTACTTGAAATGATGAATGATGTGAGTTTTCACAATTCTTTTCACAAAAACAACTGCATTTTGAGAATACTCTTTCAGACAGTTTGTTTTCATTCAATCTCAATAGAAATTTTTTTTTAGAGTAATTTGTGCAGTTGATTCTATCTATTCAAAAGTAACGAATTGAAAGTATCGATCCGAAAGAAAAATTATGGAAATGAATTTAAGTTTGCAAAATTCTAATACAGTCAATGTTTTGCCGGTCATGTTTCTGTTTGTTTGACCTTTGCATTTCTTTCATTCACTGCAATACTGTTAATGATTATCAATAATTTCCAAAACTGCTCAAAGTCACATGAAATGAAAGTTCAATTTTATATCCACTGATTGACCAAAAGACGGTAAATGATTCTCTACAAAGATATGTGATAATTTAAAAAGTAATAGTCCAATAATCATCTGCAAATGCGTTAATCATGAATAAATGAAACTGCTCATTGACAAGGTGTGGTATTGATATTTCAAATAATCCATCGAACTTCCGTTTTATCGATTTACAATCAGATTTCCGTAAAAAAAAAAACAGAGCACATCTAAAAATGGCAGCTACCATAAAGACTGACATCTTGAGCTTTGGTTTTAGTAAAACTATATAGCAGTTAAAAGTACGGCTAAGCTGTTTCCACAGAATCCACTAATCAAAATAGACATGAAAATTATCTCCTCCTTCAAAGATTTTAAAGCCACAAAAATTTATTCAGGTCTATAGAAATTTCCATGAATGTAAATGATTTTTCTTTTGATAACTCTTTAAATTGACATCATTAGGTTTAGTGTAACGGACTCACTTTAGTTAGACAATCAGTTAAAACCAGAACACACTGGACAGATATAAAATGAGAATCTACCAATGCAACACTTCCTGTAATCTCTTCTGCCTAGTGCTGTAATTAAATTATTTCAAATAATTCTTCTTTTCTTTTTTCTTAATACAAGGTTGTCAAAGGAATGGTGTATTTGGAAGAACAGCATTATGTTCATCGAGATCTACGGGCCAGCAATATTCTAGTTGACAGTAAAAATAGACTTAAGGTTGCCGATTTCGGTTTGGCTCACTTACTTAGTGATACAGACGAGTACATAGGAACATTTGGCAAGTTGAAACTATATATTACCTGATTTTACTAAGGTTTTTTTTTTAATATGTGATGGTAGTTTGACTGTTGCTCATAACACCTATCAAATGATACGATCAGCACTATGACCGTGATGTTAATTGTTTTTAAAAAAATACCATCACTCATGTTAATTCAGACTAAACCACAAAATGCAGGTTAAATAAATTAATCAAACATGATGTCATAAATTTCAGTCATGATAAACACCAGTGATTCAGACTTCATTTTAAAAAAATATCAAACTTATATTGTATTGTTTTTAGTGTTAAAGTAATGAATTATTAAACTGAAAATCAAACGTGTACTCTTTTAAATACTCATTGACAATCATTGGAAATTCAGTTAAAATATCCAGTTTCGATAGTTTACCAGAATGACAGTATTTCTATTTAATCATGAATGATATCTTTATTTTAGAAAATTTTGTCCACTTTACTTTATCAATACAAACTGATTAATTTATTACTCTAAATAAAATTTTACTATCAAACTAATAGATTGGATTCTTTTCGAAACAACAACATTCTAAGTGAATGTTTCAATTTGACTTATAGCAGTTGACCAATTAATTCGTTATTGTATTGAAAAAAAAGAAAAGAAAGATAGTCTTTCTATTTTCAAACATACACTCATCGATCATACTGTTTTTGTTTTTTTTTGTCGAAATAGAACAAAAAACCAGGTTCCATCTATGGCTTATTTATTAATCATGTGTAGCTATGTAAATCGATTGCTGTTTAATTTTTCTACAGACAGCATTCTCAAAATTGTCACATAGGTGATCTAGAAATTTCTAGTCATATGTTGATTTATTTTTATGCAAACAACTCTATCCACCAAACATATGACTGAATAGCAGTTGGTAAAAAAAAAGCATTACAAAAACTATATTCAACTAATTATAGACAGTTTTTCTTCAAATCTCATCTAGGAATCTCTTAAAATCAAAACTTTTTACACAATATATTAAATGGTTGGTTGTATCAGTAGTTTTGATGGCTGAAAAAAATAATCTATCGAAATCACTAATCATTAAGTTGACTTCAGACCATAACATGCGATAATATATTTTTTTTTCATCTGACAGAAATGGCTCCATACGGAAAGTACATTATAGTAGTCTAGACAAATTAAGCAGTTTTCTTCAGTCAGAATCGATGGTGTTTTGATTCTTTGATTACGTAAAACAACAAAAAATATTCAATAATTCACTGGGTATTCAGTTTTTTTTTCTGCAACTATGGTTCTAATGTTTAAATAGCTTTTTCTGTCTATTCATTTTGCTTATTAAAACTGAATGAACAACAACAAAAAATGGGAAACAATAAGAAACCAAATATCCCGTTCGGTGGACAGCCCCAGAAGGGATTTTGAAGCAGGCTTATTCAACGAAGTCAGATGTATGGTCATTCGGGATATTGATTCATGAAATTTTAACCTTTTGTGAATTACCCTACAAAGGTTAGTTAGTGTTTACTAGCTTTCTTATTCTAATTTAACTTAAAACTACAATTCTTTCAATTTACTGAAATAATACAGCGTAAACTAGCTTATTCGCATTCAAAATATTAGATTTGTCAATTTGCACGGAACCTTACAAACTGTCATGGTATAATGAAACGGTTCATAAGTAAGTAGGATCCTTAAAATTTCTTACAAATTCAAGCACCGAATCTATGTTGAATGTCATGTCTGGATTTCCACGTGAACTAGGAAATCCAGAAATAAATGCAACATAAGTAGACAATTGAGGATTAAATTATTAAACTAGGGTCACTTATTCATTGATTTAGGCATATAAACACTAGTACAAAGGGGAACCAAAATATGTATAAACCACAAAATAAAAACAGGATTGTAAGGAGATAGAGAATCGAATTGAGTATTTTTAAAAAGGTGAGTAGAAATTAGTGTATAGGAGTAATAATAGTGATGTGAAATGCAGTACAGTTACAAAAAATATGACCCGAAAGGATTATTTCAGTCGAAGAAGTTCCTCTCATGCATATAAAAAAATTAAGAGAAAGTTACCACAGGACAACTACTGATTCCTATTCTAAGCCACATCTGAAAACGTTTCAGTTCACTGTGTTGCACCAACTCCTGGATCCCAGTCAGGTAACCTTGAAGTACAAACAGATGCCAGTCCTGTACAACTTTTTTATATCATGAAACCTCATTGTATACTTACTACATCTCCGCTTTTTCTACTCAGTCTCACTGTCGGTAAATAATGCACCATTTAAGAGTCTCTGCGACGACATTCGTAGTACATGTCCAACCCACCAAAATCTGTGTTTTTAGATAGTCACACCGTTTGAATTATCATCGTTGCGCCCAAACACAATCTGCCGAATCTCTATTTTACTCACACACTGTTACCAAGGAATGATAGCACTCATTCGGAGGCAACGATGATCGAACACAGAGTCAGGATACGCCCTCAACTCGAAAAGCAGTTTGCACTAGTATCGAGTAAAACTGTTCTCACGGACGCATTGTAGATCAGACATTTTACAGTCGGAATAAGGTTGACCTAGATTGGCATAAACCAATCTGGCTTCCACCATACATAAATTGATCCCACCACCCGTAGCACTTACTCAGCTACCCGGATACAGGAACTTTTCAGTTACTTCCATTCACTCACTACTAAGACTGAGTGCAGGTTCAAAGTCTTGCCATTCTTATAACAGTGATCTTCAAGTAAAAAGTGAAAAGTATGTCCCACAATACCACCACATTAGTCCATCAGAGCTGTCTTCAGAACGTCGCCGACGGCGAAGTCCAAGAGGAATTGTAAGATCAGGTAACCCTGACTAACCCGATTGCTCGAATGAAACAATGAAGAGAGATGATTATATGCCCCCAATCTGCCTGAGGTTTTCGTATATAAGGATGTTAATAAACTCCTCAGGCACTAGCTTCTTGAATAGGCAGTTTCAGAAAAGTCCTGTCCGAAGGATCGAAAGCTGTCCTGATGTCAAGAAACATAACGACTGTCGGTCAACGATGAGTATAGACATCCTTGACCTGAACGAAAACCAACCTGTTGCTTGGTAGTCACTCTTTCACGAGTTTTGAATAATCAGCAAAGTATAACAGAAATGAATAATTTAAACGCTGTCGGAAGCAAACAAGTCACCTGAAAGTTTTTTTACAGGTAGCATAAAGCATTAAAAGAATACTGGAACACTTTCTAATCCCAAAATTTTTGCAAACAAATCAGTTCCATAACCAGAATTTCGCTAACATCCTTAATAAGGATCTGAGTTACGTTATCTAGGCCTGGTGACTTGTGACGTTTCAAACCTTGGATCAGTCGTCACCGACCAAGAAAGACATGATAGTCTGATTTATGTTACTGAAACAGCAGATAGGTTTAATTGTTTTTCAAAGATGCCTGCCAGTCGTCCAATACATGGGTGGATATTGTTGGTGGGAGTCCCATCAGCTCGTTGTTTCACTCACACCAGACTTCCTGCTGCCAGTGGCTCGGATTAGTTGAAGAGCTTCCGGTAGTTAACAAATACAGATGGTGCTTCCCCAGACTTATCAGATTTCATTAAGTAAAAATCTATGTTTATCGCCAAACTCGCTGTTATCCAGAGCAAACTGATATGCTTCAGTGAGTTGTGAGGCGCATTTAGAAACCCGATTTTTGTAAGCCCGACGTGTCCTCATCCGTGCCGCAGTTAGTTGAGATTCAGGCGGAGGTAACGAAAAGATATCGTTTCTCATGTCAGTTTCACTTCGATTTTATAGAGCCATCTAATTTTTTAGTGGTGATCCAGTCTATTTATTTTGACCTTGTTCTGACGACTAGTCCAACGCCAAAGCCAACAAAAACAAAAGATGCCGCAAGGTCCAGCTGACCAACACCGACCATCTTCACTTGCATTTACTGTGTGTAGGATGCAAGAGCTAGATTGTCTGTGAAGCCATTATCGTTCAGCTGTATACAAACTCCCACTGTATTCCTCGCTCCTAATCAGATGTTTGGGTTCACACAATTAGATCAACCGTCAGAAGAGTGAGAAAGAGCGAGAGTTAGCAGACTTGTTTGACACTTGAAGTGAGTCTGTGAACATCTCTTTGTGGTCCATGTTGCTATGTCGCCCGTCATAAGAATTCTGGACGATGTTGACTATCTCAACAGGTAAACCATGTTTTCAAAGCAGGCTCCATGATTTTCTCCTGTCCATGATGTCAAACTCATTCTCATAGTCAAGGAAATTTATGTAGAGTGATGATTTCCATTCAATTGATTATTCCACAATGATCTCTAGTGTAACGATTCAGTCAGCACACGATGGATCGTCACGGGATTCATTATGTTGATCTCGGAGTACGGCGTCTGATAAATCTTTTATTTGGTTCAACAACTCTCTGTTGAAAACTTTTCCTGGCTGCTGATAAGACAGTCGTTCCTCTGTAGTTAGCGCATTTACTAAGATCTCCCTTTTCGATTTCTTGATGAGATAACCTTCTTTCCGGTCTATTAATACTTGTCCTTCCTCCGAAATCTTTCCAAAGAGAACGAGTAGCATCTTTGCATTTACTCAGATGTCTAACTTCAGCGCTTCAGAACTATGCTGTCTTGTCCTGCTGCTATGTTATTCTTGATTTGTCTGATGGCCATGCTGATTTGAAATCGTTTATGTAGGACAGGGTTCCTATCATGGGCGAGCTACTGTATGAGTTGGAAAATAAAGGGATACGCAAAATGGAAATAAAAATGAATAGAAAAGCGAGAATGGGGATTAAAGCGAGAATGGCGTTCCCAGTCGTAGTTCTCATTGAGTTTTTGGGCTGGGATACTGTTTAGATAGACAAATTGAAGGCGGTTTTCTTAGAGGGCCAGTCCCCGAGACTTTGACTCAGAGGCTCAATTCTTAAGGTAGTGGAACAATGTTAGTAGATAGCGTTTCATGATATCCGAAGACTAACAACAGGTCCATACGCCATTTGTTCCTTCCTGATTGTCGAACCTACGTGTACTATCGGTTTCGAATCAGGATTCCCAAACTCCCTTAGGTAGATCTCGTGTGTCCACCAACTCGGTTAAAACACCACACATTCGCTTTTCATCCTCCCAAGCAATACTCCAGTCACGAAAAGGTAGAAAGTAAATCCTCCCTGGTAGTGAGTTTATATGAGTGGGCATATCAAGGCATTTCGAGCAGAGTGAAGTCTCCCTGTGCACTATAAAAAGCCCTCAATAATAGTAACAGGTTTAATAAATCTTACATTAAAAAAACGTACATTATTCCTACTGTTTTTGCAGTCATATGTATTTATCATGAATTTTCGCAGTCAGTGTAGTTTTCTAAAGCCAACGTTTTCCCTTTACAAACTAACTACCTCAGTCAGATTTTCGGCTTGTATACAAGATTCGATTTAAACATGGTTCAATTTAGTTCATTGTAGAAATCTGAGTGAAGGTAATAATAAAGGGTACAAAATATGATGATACATCACTTTACTGTGTTGTGCAACCAAACGATACTAAAACACTTTTCTTAAGCAAACGGGAACTTTACAGCAACTTCTAAAGTACATATGTGGTATTTTTAGTATCGTATAGTGATAGAGACTACTTCCAACATAGTAAAAACTTATGAAGATTGATAAAATCAATAGACTTTACTGATTTATGTGAAAGGAATATTGCCTGATGAATCAGACTTGTTTATCTATTAGAATTAATGTATATTCATTAATTTCGCAATCAACTAAAGATTTGTCATTCAAAGATCCTGAATAACCATATAGGGAAAAATTTTCAAGTCACTTATTTATTACGTTCTTATCTACTGTCAGTCAGAATAAGTAAATTCAAGTAAGAATTAATAATTTTTCATGCACTCACATATAAATATATAAAAAATGTCCAGACATTGATTATTGGATAAAATCATGAACGTTTATAGGTTAACTAAGAGAAATCATTGTTATTCAAATCAATCCTTAGAAATAAATGACAGTTTTGACGAATCACATTTCGAATATATATAACAACTAAAACTGAGTTACTTGACATCCCTCTAGTCTTTGGTCAGTGAATAATATTTGAGAATAATAAAACCTCAGAAATGGTAAAAACTGTATCCATGTAATCTTGATTAAGGTGATGAGTCCTCCATATTTCATAATACAAGTTTATGTTTGATTGACAGTGTTCATTAGTTATGAAGCATTTTGTCATTCACACTGATGTAAATAAACTGATTCTCTTAAATTATCTCTGTGGATATATTGTGAATTTGATATCGAAAATCTGATGGGTAATTTTTGAAAGATTATAATCGACACTTGTATGAAACTAATTTGTGTGGAAACAATGAAGAAAATGAGAATTTCTCTCATACAAAAATTTACATAAGAATTAAAACAAGTGATTTTAATAGATCGAGTAGAAAACTTTGGAATTCACTGGTTTTACATATCAAAAATAAATCCTAAACAACTTGTTGATTGTTTTGGCCGGAACGAATAGCGATTTCTTATTCAGATTACAGTATATATTAAGACGTGCAGTTCACTGTTAAACCTCAATGTTCCAATTTTCTGTGATTCTTAAAGATGTTAGGCAAGATTATATTGCAGTTATGATCTAAATTTGATGAGAAATAGTAAAATAACAATGTTTTACTCATAGAACACTTAAGGAACCGAAGTACTGCTAACTGTTTTCAAAATCCACGATGAGTGAAACGATCAATAAAACCTTTTGGACTAATGAAAACTAAACTGAGTTTATCTATCAATAAACATCTCCACTGCTATAGTGGATACTATTTAAGATAGTATCTAATCATCACCATAAACGCTTGCATGATTTTGCCAAATAATTATAGTTTTCTTCTCCCACATCCAAGAGAACAACAGATGAATACGTATTGTCTGTTAACAACGAACCGACCTAGTAGAATGAGAAGGTTACCACTGATCAATTAAAATTGGTCAACAAATTATAACAGTTTCCTGAACTCTATGCTTTTCCTTGTATTTGCCTTGATTTGATTCAAATCTTGTAGCATCTAAGGAGGCAGACTCTTAGCCTACATACTCATTATAGCTCATTTTCATTCGTTGGAATCAATTGCTAATTAGTTGAAATTTACGTCTCCATCACAGTATTCATTGTTGTATAAACCACAAGCTAAACGTTATACAGAGAGAAAAATATTTTGTTGATCACTTGAGCTGGCTTTCATCCATATTTATTCTCTAATGGATGTGCTGATTGATTTCACAAAACAAGTCTATATCGAAACGTGCAAATGCGATGAAATCATTTGTATCATGATAGCTTATCTCAGTTCTATTAAATTATCAGATGCATTGAATAAATTTTCCTGAAAACTATCGTGAAAATCTTTCTTATTTGATAATTTATACAATATTTGCACAAATGTGATTAACATTTTAAACCCGATAACGTTGTTAATTTCGTCTACACAAAGTAAAAGCAATAAGGAAATGATTCAATTATCAATCTTGCAGCTGTTTAGGTTAGCAGTCAAGACCATTGTTATAATAACACAGATTCTATTACGCAGTTTACAAAATTAATCAGTTTACTCAGTCTATGTATGTTTATTCAATAGTCTATTCACGGTCATATGTTCCATAGCTTGTAATAAAATTTTACTGAACTAGGGGTCACAGCAATGATTCTTAGTGATACCTGTCAGTTCGTTGCATGATTATTAGCTTATTCCTTATATGTAGGAACTATTGGCTAAAAAAAATGCTTCAGTAACTAAAACTTGTCCTGTTCAGAAGGACTAGATAACATCGTCAGATCTGTAATCAGGTGTTTCATAAAGTCTGAACAACTAACTCACTAGATCATAATTATGCATGTTTCAAAAGGGAATCGATCACCTAGTTTGGGTTGGTGAAGGCATCTTGTCGCTTGGATCTACTTTGAGAAAGAATTTGGCCATAGTTACAGCCAGATTTTGATAATTATTCTTAAGATAATTCTTATTACTGATAAGAATAGTGTGAACTCAAACATTGGTAATATTGTTTTACATGCTTTATGAAATCATTTACTCAAAAGATTATTGCTATGCTAATTATAACTAACTCCTAAAATTAAATATCTAGGTACCAACTTGGTTTTTATTTTTGCTCCACCTTTGTGGGTGATCGATGTTATTAAAGCACGAAAATGAGAAACTTTAGACAATTGTTAGCATTCACATGAAGGCGTTCACTGTCAGCCATTCATATTGACGTGATTTATTTCTTATCAGTACAGCTGTTTGCAAATTTTACATAAAATTTTGTTTTTTATCCCATGTATGTTTTATTTTCAGAGTTCACTGTGAATGAAGTCAAAATACGCGTGTGTTCAGGTTACCGATTACCTCGTCCTATATTGAGAATATCCTCTACAGATTTCATTCTACATGTGGATGATCAGTACGAGGTTCCCAAAAGGAAAAATTTGGAAACGTTTATGTGTCCAATTAGTATTTACAACAAATTACTGGAATGTTGGCATGCTTCACCTGATGAAAGGCCATCATTTAATTCGCTACGTTATTTTATCGAAGAATTATTAGAAAAAGAAATCGAGAAATGAAAAAAAATAAACCACAATTCTAAACATCCTGTCCAAATGCGTAAATTTATTTTACACTTATCATGTATGTACCTACATCATAAACCTAAAAGTAAACATGATCAATGATTTAGATAACTGCTTCATTGTTGTCAAAACAAAGGTTTTAAGGCATCAGTCTTTTGCACAATGAACAATACTCGAAATCCCATACTTTTTTTAACACTCTTAAACATGAGCAATGAACAAATCAGATTCATACGTCAAATTGTTGGTTGACAGTACAAGTATACTTTAAATAAAAACACCAATTTTATATTCAGCTTTCTGACAACATAAAAAACGTCCAAAAAATATGCATAACACGAAATAGAATGTTCGATACAGAGGGACTCGGGACTCGATCATGAGAATATGATCGAATGTCAAGCTTTACACTGATTGATCACCCAGTAATAACCTCGGACGTTTTAATTTCTTCATGCTGAATTGAAGGAATTCATGATATGATCATAAATGTTACTGACTCAAAATCGTAATGGGTTCCAGTGGTAAAGTTCAACTCTCTGTAGTCCCTAAACTTAAGTTTTGTGCTCGTTGGTATGCATTCGAAACATTTCTACACTGTTGAGATGATTGATAATAACTGTAGGAGTGCAACCCGACCAAAGGATGCTATTATTTCAGAATTCCTATAAAATCACAAAGATTTGAAATCAATCAAAAGCAGAAACTTATTATGTGTCACAAGAAATGCGGTTAATGTTACAGTACCGAATACAGCTTGTACATTTGACTGGCTAATCTAACGTTTATAAGATTTTGCAATTCCATGCTATGTTATGATTTTGAAAATATCAATACCTCTTGCTGAATATGGTATTAAAAACATACCAAGTCTTATATGATGCTATTAAGATATCTCGTACAACTTGTGTTACCTATTCGTTAAACAGAAAACTCGAGAATATTTTTCAAACAAGTGAACTCAAGTAAACAGACTCACTATTACATATCATGTAGTAAATCATATTTTTGAAGTAATCTGGTTATGATGCTCATAACTATATATTCTATAATTCTTCTATAGTATTTTATCGATTATTGCTCACAAAATCCGCTATTCATCATCTCACTCGAGTGTAAATAAACAACTCGATTTCGACAACATTTACACAAGTATAGAACTGATTGCTGAAACATCATAATGCCGGTAGGGATTATTACTAATAATCCAAGTTTAAACTTGCAAGACCTGCATGAATTATGTAGTCCTTAATGTGCACATTACGTTTTTCCGTTACCAATAAGATATGATATTACTATGTGATTATATAAAACTAATCAATTGATGCGATAAATTATCTCACTTCAAAAATGTATACTGAGTAGTTGTCAAACTGTTAAAGTATAAAAATAACCAGTGCGGAATTTCGATATTGTCAAGTCATTAAAGTCAGGTAAATGTTTATGAAAAATTTATGAAAATAGTAAATAATTTTTTAAGGTCAAATATGGTTTTGACAAAAGTAGGTGATTATATACGACATTGAAACCATACGTACATCTATCAATTTGTATATATATATATATATATATATATATATATGTTTAACACAATAGCTAGGTTGATTTCCAGCATTCACCTGAACTAACATGGAAAATCATCATGAGTAACCTGAATATCTACACCATAATGCCGTGCAAATTCAGAAAAATTTGTAATGCCATTAGCGCTTCCCAAGGTAAAATAATCAATATTAAACATCATCGATTACATGGAATTTGAAGTTCTTTAAATGGAAAAATGTTGTAACTAGTTTTTTTCGTAAAAGTGGCTCAAGAACTTGGGACAAATTTTCCGGAAATAATAATCAGAGAAAACCTCTAATGCAGTAAGATTGCTTGCCTTATTTACTGACTTGCTCCTGTTACTCCCAACGGAGCATATGCCGCCGACCAGTTTTCTCCACTCTTCACTGTCCTGAGCTTCCCTTTCCAGTTCTTTTCAATTTTTGTTTATTTTTCTCATGGGGTCGCCAACCTCATGCCCAGCGCTCCTCCTTTATCCGGGCTTGGGACCGGTAGTAGCCCCAGAGGGGCCCCAGGCGGAGTTAAGATTGCTTGACAGCAACAAACAAACAGTGGGCAACGTTGGAAGGGTTATTTAACATTATCCATATTATAGTTATCGACACTAGATGAAAACAAGCTGAGTGAATTTCATAAATCATAACTGATCTCACAAAGAAACTATAGCCATTGCATGCTACATGATTACTAAAATGTTATTAAAATAATAATGACAAAAAATAGGTTTTATTAGTTAGTCTTCTAGTCAGCTGGTGATATTTTACAGCTCCATTAACGAAGTTCCATCTAAGGTGATATTACATTTTGTTCATTTGCCATTTCTTTAATAGTGTAATCTAATTTGGATAACTAAACATATTTATTATCTTACAAGATGAAAAAAAAACACAGTTAACTGCTGATATTTTATCCAAATATTTATAACTATTTGTCAGAGCTCAACATAAAATCTCATGTCAATTAAACGTGTCGATAAATTTATGGCTAACATGTTATCGTCCATCGATGAACAAATATTGTATACTTTTAACTGAAGGGCTTTGTAGGGAAGTAATAAATACTGTTAGGACAATCATATCTCACTTTTCATGTCATCATTTTAGAAATATTAGTGAACATGTTAATCAATATTTGATCCGCAATCGTTTCTTCTGGAATTTTCAGTGGTATTTATTGTACAGAAAAGTTTCAAAATACGGTTAAGGTTTACATTGGATTCATTTGACCCGCCTAAGTTTCCGAGTATTCATTTTATTATTGAATATCAACACTATAGGTTGCTCTGGATCGATACGTTCTTACAATATATGCGATACGATTCCTATTTCCTCTGAGTTCGAATGATAAATGGTCGAGAACGCTTTATAATCATGTATATTCATTATTTCATGGCGCCTTAACCACAAACTGAGTGGATTGAAAAATTCAAGTTAAGACTTCACACAAGTAACAAAATATTTATATGGTCAACAATGACGCATGACTTCTTAAAGTTACTTGAAAATACACTTAATTTAATAATAATTTTCATTGTAGACTAGCGTGAGAACAGTTGAATGCGGATGCCGAAATTTTGAAGAATGTTTGAATATGTTAAGGTTTGTGCTACAAACACTTGCGAGAATTCACTATTGCATAAACAGACAATTTTCAGTTTGACAGGTGACAGTCTCGTATTTTTTGTACTCTAACCGGATATTTAAATTTCATAAAGAGAATTTCGGAAATTTCGAGACTACATACTGAAATAGAAAGGAGTATAATGAAAAAACAAATAGCAGTAGGATTGGGACAACTTCAGAGAACACTTATGTCTTGTGGTTTATTGACTGTTGTCAGAGCGTGCTGAAGACAAATTTTTACAGAACTTCCGGAGTAAGAATTTTGCAATTAAAAACTGCACCTAAGAAAATGCTTCTTATTATTCGCAAGGAAATCGTAACCCCAACCATACTGAAACCATAATTAATTTTATCTCTGAAATGTTATATTACTTTCATATATGAATATGGGATTTTCAATCGAACTAATTTATTAGAAAAGCAGGAAATTCGAAAAGCTAAATATCCGTTTAAAAAACATCAATGTCTATTTTCACGGTTGAAAGACACAGAATTTATAATTATCTAAGACTGACTGATCACCAAATGTTAATCCTTGTCATACCTGCCTAGTTCTAAATGTTGGTTAACATTTAGGAAGACTGTATTTTGTCAGTAGTTAATTTAATTCGATCCGGATAACTGCTTCGCCTCAAGTCGAAAAGTACCCCCCTTGGATACGAATCCAGCGGTCCGCCCATGAAATCAAAAACTATGTGTTTTACGCCGACAGAGTTCTAGATAAATACACTAGGATGGAACAGCTGCATAATATTTCCCCGTCTCAATGGTAGTCTAACTAACATCGGTTTGCGATTCAAACTATGAAAATTTTATAATTTTTACATTCCTGCTTATTTCGTTATGTTCAACAGACTGACATTTGTTCACTTCTCACTGAATTATGTATCTTACATTGATTTCAATAAATTTTTACCAAGAGTACCCGATTCAACAGTATTCACGTTCAAAATTTTCAGGTAAGAATTATGCTAATTTGACTTTTAAAGAAAAGCCAGCTGAACTTACTTTCAATTATCATTCACTTTATTTGATATTCCACACATATTGATATGGTTTATCTAAATATCAGATGGTCAGATGTTGCACCGAGAAAATTTCCATAAGCACACACAAGTGGAAGAAGGATAGGCTGTTTAGTCTTCTATTATATATAACCTCATTGAAGGAAGTACGTTTACGTGTAAAGAAAATAGTCATTAAAAGAAAAACTAAATAATCCTATTAAGTTAGATTTTTGGAAATTAGATTAATTTGAAGGTGGTCATTCGTGATAAACTGACTTCGATGATCTTCAGTAAATTACTGTGTAATGATTTACTAATTTTTTAGTGAGCGTTGGAAGTTAAAAATATTAACAGTGTAAGAGTAATTACCGCTGGTATAGGATGATCATAGAGTTATGTCATCTACCAAGTGAAGCTGAAACTGTGTTCCGGTGCATGTTAACTATGTCCAGTAGGAAATCGATATCAGAGAGACAAAAATTAAAAAAAAAAGATCAAAAGAAAAACTTTTACTCAAAAAATAAAAATAGCATTCAAGATGACTTGCATGAGACTTTATTAGCGTAACCAGTTTCTTTCATTGTTTAAAGCTAAACCGAACTTTGAAACTTGAAAAGATTATCTCTGAGAATATTCAAATGAATCTATTGTTCCATCTATTGTCTATAATAATCACTTTCTTTTTTTAAAAAAAATTCAGAACAATAATAAAAATTAAAACATCTTTGGAGTTTAAATATACTTTATAATACAAAAAAATTGCTTGTTTTCAATATACCTAACAGAAATTGCTTTATCC